GGATTCTGGTTTTCGTTCAAGATAGTATCCGTGACACTAGAATCATAAGCTCTTGTTGAAGAATTACTTAAGCAGATCCTGGATTCTAGTGGAACAACTAACACCAACCAGTTTAAAGACCCCCACAGAAGAACCAAATCAGCAAGAGAATACCATTTCTTCATCTCCCTGCCCCATGACTTCACCCTGTAATTTTCAACCAATCAGTGGTCTCCACACTTTGGCCCACTCCAAAACCCCCAAACTCCTCTGGGGGACAGATTTGAGGTTTCTTCATGTCTCCTCATTCGGTTGTCCTAAGATTAAAGTTCTTTTACTGCTGTAGCCCAGTGTCTCAGTGTATTAGTCTGTTCATGTTGCTATAAAGGAATACCTGAGAATGGTAATTTATAAAGAAAAGAGATTTATTTTGCCTCAGGGTTCTGCAGGCTCTACAGGAAGCGTGATGCTGGCAACTGCTTCTGGTCAGGGCCCCGGGAAGCTTAAAATCATGGCAGAAGGTGAAGGGAAACCAGTGTGTCACATGGCAAGAGTGGAAGCAAGAGAGATGCCAAACTCTTAAACAACCAACTCTCATATGGACTGAGAATTCATTACCACAGGGAAGGCACTTCATGAGGGATCTGTGCCCATGGCCCAAACACCTCCCAGCAGGCCCACCTGCAACATTGGAGATTACATTTCAACATGAGGTGTGGAGGAGACACACATCCAAATCATACCACTCAGTGTACTGACTTACCTATTACGGTTACATAAGGAGTGGGAACCAAGTATCTGCCCCATCACCCACCCGCCATCAGCCGCTTCAGACAAGCCTCCTCTGGGTGACATGCCTCTTAAGTAGGCATTTGGTTCCTCTCCCATCACTGGAAATTTCTGTCCTTTCCAATTTCCTTTATACATATGCTCACTCTTCAGCATAATTTCTCGCCTCAACCATCTTCACCCAGTAGAATGGGAGCATGATGATACTCTAATGACCATTCCTTTCTCACCTCCTTATATAGCTAAAACATCATCCAATGTGTTTTTTTTTTTTTTTCTTGAGACGGGGTCTCGCTCTGTTGCACAGGCTGGAGTGTGGTGATGTGATCTTGGCTCACTGCAACCTCTGCCTTCCAGGTTCAAGCAAATCTCCTGCCTCAGCCTCCCCAGTATCTAGGGTTACAGGCACGCACCACCACACCCAGCTAATTTTTGTATTTTTGTTAGAGATGGTTTCACCATGTTGGCCAGGCTGGTCTTGAACTCCAGACCTCAGGTGATCCACCTGCCTCAGCCTCCGAAAGTGCTGGGATTATAGGCGTGAGCCACTGCGCCTGGCCATCATTCAACTTTTTATCCCAGAAAAGGTGAAAGGCATATATTTCTCTAAAACAGACTGGAAAACTACAGGCTGCCACTTGTTTTGGTAAACAAAATTTTATTGGAACACAGCCACACTCATTAGTTTACATATTTTCTATGTCTGCTTGTGACTACAATGATAGAGTTGTGAAGTTGTGACAGAGACCTTATGGCCTGCAAAGACTAAAATGTTTACTATCTGACGCTTTACAAAATTTGCCAACCCCTCATCTAAAATATAGATTAATTTCATGTCAGTCCTTTAAGTTCTGAAAGAGCTTCATTAGTATGTATATGTAGCCTTTATCATTTAAAGGCTCTAATAAAAACTACATTTGAAATAAAATTGCATGGCTGCACTATAGGTACAACTTTTGCGTCTTGTAAAATTGTTTCTAGCCTTAAAAACTTCTTGAAAAATATGAAGGGAATTGTGTGTTTGCTTTGAAGGACCAGAAGGAAGAATAAAGTCTTACACCAGTCAGAAGTATTTGATGTCACCATTGAAAAGGGAAGAAAACAGATAATCTATGGGGCATATGGAAGCAAAAAGGAGAAATGAAAGCTGTCTGCAGGACAAGAAGGCACAAGATCCTGCCTTCAGCGCTCCCTATCAGAGCCCTTGGCTCCTCTCTTCACACCCTGTTCCCTAACTCACAGTCTGGTTTCCTCCCACCTTGGCCCTCATGCATTGGAACTGTTCACCAGACCACAGAATCCCCAGAGATGTCAAGAGACTGGATTCTGCTCCCACTGTGACTGCTTTCTATGTGGGAAACCTTGGGCAGGTCACTGAGTGCCTCTGCCACTTAGGTTTCACTCTTTTGTAAATTGGGGGTGGGCAGAGTTATCTTACTGTGCTTGCCCAACAGTAATCAAATGTGATGTTTTTTAAAAGCCTATGTGAAAGGTAAGGTATTATGAAATTGTCAGTGTTTTTTTGTTAAAATGTCTGAGTTGCAGATGAAATTTTGTTATCCAATATATAAATTAGAGTTAACTGATATTTGAAAACTTAAGTACCTTATTTCATATTTCTCATATCCATTTTTGCTTATTTTTTAAGAGTATTTAACTTTTATATGGATTAGAGAAAATATAGAAAATAACTGAATTTTTACCATAATAATTCTTTAATGGGTGGAAAAAATTTCAAAAATTATATTTCATTGTGATCCATTCTTTTCTGTTTGTTGTTTGTTCAGCTTTCGTTTTTATGCCTTTGTTTACAGAGAAACAATCTTACAGATGGCAATTTCCTTGTAAGCAGTTATTGTCCTATCTGAGTCATCGCCAGACATGGCATTTCAGCAAATAGTGATTCAGCAATTGCTTCCAGGCAGATGTGTTGTGTGAAGTTAAGAACACTGGCTGATAACCTTTCTGGGTTTTTCAAGCAGTAGGGAGAAAGTTTTGTGTAGATACACACCTTGAAATCAGGAAATGGCAAAGGAAGCACAGACTTTGTGCTGGATGATTTTAACCAAATATACTGTTTGTGTGACTATGGATGAACAGTAATCTTTTTAAAAGATAAATAATATTTCTTCGAGTAAAGGACCTTTTGTAGTGAGTTATGCGTATTTTCTTAGAAACATCATGCATGTGCATTGTTAAACACAACTTTGACCTTGTTGTACAGACATGTGTATTACTTTGGCCACTCAGGTTCCTGTGGTCTCATGCCTATAACTAAGCAAACCAAACTCCTCATACGTTGGTTTCTCCAATGTAAATTGGAGGTTCTCTTATCCCTCACTTTCAGAGATGGGGGATTTCTTTTGCTTCACAAATATGTTTTTACAAACATGTATGCTCAAATATAGTTTTTATTATGTATCATAAAGTCTTATCTTGTCACTGTTTTTTCCTGAGATGGAGTTTCGCTGTCATTGCCCAGGTTCTGAAGTGCAATGGCGTGACGTCGGCTCACTGCAACCTCCACCTCCTGGGTTCAGGCGATTCTCCAGCCTCCTGAGTAGCTGGGATTACAAGCATGCGCCACCACGCCCAGCTAATTTTGTAATTTTGTAGAGACGGGGTTTCACCATGTTGGTCAGGCTGGTCTCAATCTCCTGATCTCAAGTGATCCACCCAGCTTGGCCTCCCAAAGTGGTGGGATTACAGACGTGAGCCACCACGCCTGGCCTTGTCACAGTTTTACCATGAACTACAAAGAGAAGTTCACTAATTATTCAACTAATATTTATTGAACACCTGTTGTGTGCTGGGCCCTGCCCAACAGTAATAATGTTGCACAAAACAGAGAACGAAGTAATAGGGTGGAATATGCATTGTAAACATTTTGCGGGTTAATTTATCTTAAATAAATAAGCTACCAATTTTGTTCTTGTTTCATGATTTTATAATTTAACAGGCTTATATATTTTTTATTACTTTAATCACACTTTTTAAAAAATTGCAATAGGTTTTGGTGGAACAGATGGTGTTTGGTTACAGGAATAAGTTCCTTAGTGGTGATTTCCGAGATTTTGGTGCACCCATCACCCGAGCAGTGTACACTATACCCAAAGTGTAGTCTTTTATCCCTCACCCCGCCACCAACCCTTTCCCCTGAGTCCCCAAAGTCCAATGTATCATTCTTATCAACAGGCTTGTATTTAATCCTTTACAATTTTCATGAGACTCTTCCTTGACTATAGCCATTAGTAAACTAAACTTTTGTGTTGCATATGGAGAAGTTAAGCTTAGACAAGATTTTCATACTTTATCTCCAGTCAAGACTCATGACTTTTCCTTACATTAACAAATTTCTAACCATTAGTGTCAGCTAAGCCATCATCCATTTCTTTGGTAATCTTCCCTGCTGTGGACATTCCTAAGATGGCCCAATTTTATAGAAAAAGCAATTTACAAATTGCTAAATTAGCGTCTGATTATGCTTCAAAGAAGTAGGCTAATAGGTAGTCTCTGTCTATCATGTGTTAATCACAAACCATTAGTGATAATTAATAAATTAAAATGGGCCAGTTATTAAATTCTGCTTATACTTACCCAAGTATGTCTGTGTCTATCCTATGTCCTTCAAGCCAGCCTACTCATCCACTTCATTTAGTAATGTAACCCAGCCAGGCACTAGCCTTAGGAATCAAAGTATTAAGTGAAGGCTAGTTTACGCATTTGTTCATTATTCTTTCCTGCTGTAAGGATTATCTGTCATCTGGTTAATTATTACATATAAACATACACATCTACTTCAAAGCAAATCCACAGACACACAAACGCTTACAAAGAGTAAGCCTTATGAAAAACTAACTTGGAGGACAGTTATCCACATCATAAAGACTTTTTATTTCAACATAATTTGCCTTAAGTCATAAACTTTCCAAGTTTATTTGAAATATGACTTGATTTATAAAATATGAATTTATTTGATTTTTCCAGAGTAAATCTATATAAAACAGGATACATTTAGGTTGTGTGTATATGTATTTATTAATGATATATGAGACTTGTTTATAAGTACTGTTCTTAAAAAGTTAGCATGTTTACTTTGAAACAAGGGAAATAGTGGTTTCTTCCATGATGTGAAACATGTAATAACAAAAGATACTTCAAACAAAGAGCAGGTAGTTTGGCCTCAGTAATGTGGTCAAGTTTTAAAAATCTATATGTATTTTACTTCATAGGAGATACAACAAATGAGCAGAGAATGGCAGCAAGAGGCAAAACTTTGGACGTAGAAGCCAGCCAACCTTCGGAGGTAAGTGAAATAGGGTAAGTCCTTTTCGGTGAAACTGAAGGAGTCACTATGATTACATATGCCTCTGAGGATAAATAGTAACTTCTGCTCTTGCTATGCCATAGGTGCCTGAATACAGGGAAACAAGTGGTCTGCTGAAAGTCAGTGGATAGCAGTACAGGGAGTGCCTTCCCAAGTGCTAAACTTTTTAAGTGCTAGAAATGAAAACTTTCTGTTAAAAACAAAACAAAACAGAAATCAAGTCCTTAAGTTAAAACATTTAAACTATTTTTTAATTGAGTGATTATTTACTAATACATTTCAATAAATAGGCAGTACATAAACTTGTAGAGAAAGGCTTAAAAATAATCCATTCAGCCGGGCGCAGTGGCTCACGCCTGTAATCCCAGCACTTTGGGAGGCCGAGGCGGGCAGGTTAAGAGATTGAGACCATCCTGGCCAACATGGTGAAACCCTGTCTCTTCTAAAAATACAAAAATTAGCTGGGCATGGTGGCATGTGCCTGTCGTCCCAGCTACTCGGGAGGCTGAGGCAGGAGACTCGCTTGAACCTGGGAGGCGGAGGTTGCAGTGAGCGAAGATGGTGCCACTGCACTCCGGCCTGGCGACGGAGCAAGACTCCGTCTCAAAAAAAAAAAAAAAAACATTTAAAACTCCATTGCCTTACTAGTTCCAGCATCAAAGTACACTCCTTGAAAGTATTCTGTAGAAAAACTAGGGTATTTGTTCTTTTTCACATGAGAAAACTATTTGCTCTCTAAGGGTATGCATGAAAATGTAGTTAGGATACTTTTGAATACTATATAGAAATATACTAACATTATTTAATCACCAAAATCATCATCTTTAAGACTTAAGGGGAATTTTAAGTACTAGGGTGGAAGGATTATCTTGAAATTTGAAACTTTCTACATGGTGACACACCTCTGCCTGTATTCTAGCTGTAGCACATGAGGGTATTGCTGCATACAACTAGAAAGAGGTCAGGGACCTGGCCAGTGTGATTCACCATGGTTCCTTAACGCCTAGCCCACAGTAGGTAGTTGAAAAGATTTGTTAAATGAATAAGTTAGTACAATCATGAGTTATAAGTAGAGAGTAATATATTTTTAAGAGATACTTTTATTTTTTATATTTATATTTTTCACCATGAACAAATATTTTACAATCAAGGAAATCGAGGAAAAATCATCTTATTTAAAACATCTTATTTAAAGATGTGATATAGGAAGTAAATTCATGAGGAGGAAGAAAATCATCTTTCTCATGAAACTCTGCATTCATTCTTTCACTTATGCATGCAACAAGTATTTATTACACTGACTGCACTCAAGATACTGTGCATGGAGCTGAATATATAATGATGAAAGTAAGATACAAGGACAAAGAAAAATGTCCAGCTTATATGTTGAAGCAACTTGATCTTTTTCATTTATGCAAACATTTGGTGAGGCTGGGCATAGTGGCCCATACCTGTGGTCCCAGTGCTTTGGGAGGCCAAGGAAAGAGGATTGCTTGAGGCTAGGAGTTTGAGACCAGCCTGGGCAACATTGAGAGACTCATCTCTACAAAAAAAGTAAAAAATTAGCTGGGTGTGGTGGCACACGCCTGTAGTCCCAGCTACTCAAAAGACTGAGGTGGGAGAATTGATTGAGACCAGGAATTCAAGGCTGCCAGCCTGGGCAGCAGAAACATGTAGTGAGTGCTGACCATAAGTAGCATCTCTGATAGGAAATAAAAGTTGGTATGTTTGGGATTTGGGTAATAACTACCAGGATGGTTCAAAAATCATCCACGATTACTTGAGTTTAGTTGCTTATTGTCTTCTTTTATATGGGCTGCTACAGCAAAATACCATAAATTGGATACCTTATGAACAACAGAAATTTATTTCTTTAGTTCTGGAGGCTGGAAAGACCAAGGTCAAGGTGCTGGCAGATTAGTGTCTGGTGAGGGCCCGTTTTCTTTGGTTTGCACTCTGGCTGTGTCCTCACATGATAAAGGGAGAACTCTAGTTTCTTCAGCCCCTTATAAGGGCACTAATCCCATTAATGCGGGCTCTCCCCTACCACCCCCAATGCAGTTGCCTTGGAGATTAGGTTTCAACATATGCATTTTGGAGGGACACAAAGCATTCAGACCATAGCACTTAGTTGTGTGATTCATTGGAAATGTCTGCAGAACTTGACTATTTTTCAAAGTTGATTCATTGATAGAAGGAATTCCAAGGCTAATTCTTAAGAAAAGATGCTTTTAAGGTTACAATCCACAGAGCTTTGAAACAAATTCATTATTGTGCTACTTTCTAGTCTCTCTATTAATATAGTCAATTGTTAATCATTAAGGCTGGATGTATATACTCATGCAGTAACAGATACTTCAAAAGTGTCTTCTATTCAAGTAACGGCTGAGCAAAGAGAGGACAGTGTTTGCTATCAGAGAGCTCACTAAGGTAGGAAAAAAGAAAAATGGAGTGGGAGACTATAAATGAGACCTCAGGGTTAAATCGCAATGCAAGAGGAAAATAATAAAATACTTTTAGAGACTATATATGTTTTGCCACAGAAAAGCCAGATAGTAATTTACCTTGACAGTAAGCATCTAACATGGGATTTGCTATTCCTCCCCTTTAAAATACAAAAACGAGGCTGGGCACGGTGGCTTACACCTGTAATCCCAACACTTTGGGAGGCTGAGGCAGCCAGATCATGAGGTCAGGAGATCGAGACCATTCTGGCTAACATGGTGAAATCCTGTCTCTACTAAAAATACAAAAAATTAACCGGGTGTGGTGGCCTGTGCCCAGAGTCCCAGCTACTTGGGAGGCTGATGCACGAGAATTGCTTGAACCCGGAAGGCGGGGGTTGCAGTGAGCTGAGATCGCGCCACTGCACTCCAGCCTGGGCGACAGAGCCAGACTTCATCTCAAAAAAACAAAACAAAACAAAAAGTGAAAACACTGCTGAACACTCTCTACCCTTCATACACTTGCTTGATATAGTAAAAATGAGTCTTATCCAGCCTCCTAGATTTAAATTCTGTGTAGAAGTTGATGACTCCTAGAACATGTCTCTACCTAGACCTCTCCCCTGAGTTCTAGACTCTATACCCAGCTGCCTATGTAACATTTCACTTACAAATTTCTACACAGTTTAGCCTTTCCTTAACCATGGAAGAACTATTGATACCTGGCCCCACCACCCTGAAGCCTCTCTGTGCCCAAGTTTTAATCATCCCTGTTTAATATCACCACCCTCTATCTGTATAGTGATTTAGAACCAAACCCCCTCAGGTACCCTTGGCTCCTCTCTTTCCCTCACATTGCACATCCAGTCTATCAGCACGTCCTGCCATCTTGCCCTCTATATCCGGAATGTGACTGCTTCTCAACGTCATCACTGTTAGAACAGTCTAAGCCACCCCTTTTACCAGGCCCCCATTCTTTCTCCTTCAGCCCATTCTCCACATAGCAGACAGAAATATGTCAGATCACATCACTCCTTGGCTTAAAAGCTCTGACTATCTACTGTAACTAGAATAAATGCTAAGCTCCTTGCAGTGGGCCACAAGGAACTCCATACTCTCTCTAATCTCATTTTTCTCCCCATTCCCATCCCCATCCACCAGCCGCCTGCGCCTGCTGTTCTGTCTCTAGATGATGTTAAGACCTTTCCTATCTCAGGCTTTGTATTTGCTAGTCCTTTTTTTAACCAGAGCTTCACTTGGCTTCCTCCTTATCATTCAAGTGTCACTTTTCATGACTACCTCAGCTAATGTGTCCCTCCCCCCAGTCACTGTCACATAACTCTGTCTTATTTTCTTCATCACACTTATCACTATCTCGGATTATTCATTTGCTATCTGCTTCTCCTGACTAGAATGAAAACAGACATTGTATGTCTAGAATAGTGTCTGGTACACAAAAGTTACCCAATAAATACTTGCTAACTGATCATTTAGATTTTATTTAATATCTTTGTCCATCTGCCAGGTTAAAGGCCTAAATGTCATTTTGGCTCCTTCTTCTCACCCCCTCATTAAATCTATAACCAAGTCCTAATGTTTCTGCCTACCAAATACCTTCCAAATGCAGTTTCTCCTACACCAACTAGGTCCTCATCTGTTCACTAGACTATAGTTAGATGAGCAGTTTCTTCCCCAAATATCTTTCTAAAAAAGAACAGTGGGTTTTTTATTTACTTCCGTGCTCCCCCCTAAAATCCCTTGAAACCTGCACAATGAAGCTTAAACCTTGAACCCTGTTCTAATGTCACTTCCTTTGTGAACTCTTTTCTCTGCTGCCCCAGCCAGAGACAACCCTAATGTCCTCTTAATGCTTATATTGTTTTTTATGAGTTCACTATAGTGCAGGTTTTTGAAAGGCGGGGGCTATAGCTTAATTAGCTTTATGACCTCAGCAACTATCACACTGTTAGACATATGTGATGTAACATAAATGCCCTGTCAATGATTTCTGGATAGATAAATCAAAAATAAATAATCCACTTATATTTATTAAATTCTGTTTTCTACTTTACATGATAAACACACAGTTATATCTTTTCTCACACACAAAAATTTTTTCTTGCATTCCTTTGGAGTTACCCATTAAAAAATCTGTTAATTTACATTATTTTTGGCACTCTTACTATATTAGCAGGGAAAAGTTTAATACCTTCAGTTAGTTTTAAATACATATATATACATCTGATTAAGAAATCAAACTATTGTGCTAACTGGAAAGATTCTAATTATTTTAATTTTTAATGACTATATAAGCAATGTTGAAATACTCTCTATAATGAGAACATAATTAGTAAATTAGCATGGATTCCATAAAGCTTAAAAATAACATTTGTAGTTGCCAAACTATAACTCACTTTTCTAAGAACCCTTTGGAGAAGGTGGCTTTTAGTATACCAAAAGAAGTTTCTTTTGGCAAGTTCAGATAAACATATAGATTGCCTCTTAGTTTCAAGGGATTGTGTTAGACATGGGGGT